GGAGCCAGAACGTACTCCTCACGTGACTTCCCTTTCATGAGCGAGCGGATTCAAATGAAAACATAGTGGAGTTTCCTACAGGCTTACCTCAAGGCATCGTTTTTCCGTATAGTCCCTTCGAAAACGCACGGGGACACAATGTCTCGCATCTTCCCTCGCTTCCGATGTTCACGCATCTCCATCTCCTTCCTCGTCCTCTCAGCCTTATCCATCTTAGTAGCCTCATCGAAATACCTATAGGGTAGACGGCCTCCGAACGCTCCGTCAGGCTTGTGTTGCACTCGCTCAGTTTCCTCAAAGTTGCCGGATGGCCTCCGAACAAACTCCAAAGAGCGTCGAAATGCCCCGCGTCGTCCCGTTGATAGTCTCCAGCCCGGCCTGATCTGAATATCCACACAGTATCACTGATTCCAATGCTAACCTTCAGCAGTAGCTGTCGGACGATCCGACAAGAGACTAGGAACGAACACGTGACGGACCTGATGATTCAATCTCCGTAACAATAGTCAAACTCACGAGCATCACTGAATCCATAGTGAAATCAGTCAATTCTACAACATGATGACGATCGAGCTCTATCATAGATATCTGTGTAATGTTATCGTCGCATTCCAGTACAAGATTCGTAGTAGTGTCCGCAGCACACGCCATGAGCTGGGGAAGGAGGTCTCTCTAAGACCATTAACACATAATAAACAAGTCCATGTTGCCCTCCTCTTACCGTCCCTTCTGGATGCCCAGTTTTACTCGACAGTGTAGGGCTTCGATCAGCAACATCGACATGGAACCTAGACAGCTAGCACTGTGTTCACCACGCGATGAAGCTGTACTGCTACTGACTGTAGCTGTACTCGACTTCTACATTTCTCTCACTAACCCCGTCGCATCCCATAAGCGCGCAATCTATTGAGAAGGCTCATGTCACGACTTCTTTCTATGAGCATTACTAAGGAAGTTATATCGTTCAAGTACCCAATCCATCACTTCTACTCGTACGACATGGAAAAAACTATGCAACTATTAATCGATTCATGGAGCTACTGCAAGCCACTAGACGTACAAGCATAAGGCTAGTTTCTGATCCTTCTTCAACATTCGATTGGAGAGAAACAGCAGCAACTTGACTGGGACAGAGGTCCTATCGGGGACGCTGTTGGCAATAAGGGTGTGGCTCAGTATTTTGGTGCCTGCGCGA